TACTTTTCCCAGCCAGTGGTGGGTGAATATTGACGCCCGCCATTGGTAGTTTGTGCCATTAACAGTGTTAGTGGATTACTAGTGGCGAGCGCTAGGTAAATCCCACCAATGCTAGGCCTTTACCATTGGAGGGCGCGCGATCGCTACTGATGCCATGTTAGCAGTGGCAGGAGGTCAGTGACGGGCGGCCCTGTGAGCCTTGCCCGTCACTGGTAGCCATTTCTGCAGTAGTGGCGGCGTGTTCAGTTGACATACTAAACTTGCCACACTTTCCCACCACAAGTTAGACAAGTTTAATCGAGCTAGCCCGTTGGACCCCACATGTCATTGACTTAGGAAAGTGTGGCTTTGATGTTTTGTTTTTATTTTATAAAAAAACTTAGATCTACTACTACCTCTCTCTCAGTTTACAGGACGTGCGCGTGCCCCTAGGTCGTTAATTTGACCAACTTAATACAAGTCATATATTATAAAAAATATACCAATATAAACTTTAGATGCTCTATTTTCAAACCGTATAATTTTTGTGTTATATAGTTTATATTAAGGTGATAAAATTGGCAACCTAGATATACGTGTAGGACTTATAAACTGAAACGGAGGTAGTACAAAAGTTTATCAGAAGTATAAAGCACCCCAGACATAGTAGAAGAACACATCAAAGTCCCTTAGCCAATATTGTAGCAGACTTTACTCTTTGGACGAATATTCAGGTGGGAACGCGTCCGAAAGTGCAAGTAAACTATACGAAGTGCCATTGCTTTGTCCGTATGAACCATGCATACATTTTCAGTTTCCACAAGTAGGTAGGGAAGTTTAGAGCAGAGAGCGCGTCCGAACCGTGGGAGCGCGTAGAGCATGCATGACGCGGCCTCAACCCTCACACGAGCCTGACCTTTTTCACGACGCTGGTTAGTGAATTAATTAACGCGGACGGCAGCCTGATCATGATCCTGGTCCTGGTCCTCCCTTTGACGTCAATGCATAGCTGCGAACAAGTACGGGTGGACACCCCGAAATGCTCCACGGCTTACACGTAATATAGTAAAATAACGCCAGAAAGGGCTAATCCTGGTCATCCTTTCAACAGCTCAAGCTAAGTTTTTTTTAAAATACGCCAATGGCAACCGTATTTTTATAGAAGGCAGAAGTTTATATACAAAAGCCCAAACGAGATGCGAACAGGTCGTCGGGGGACACACACCACTCCTAAACCCTAGAGTTCGTAGACTACTCTCTCGTAAAAGGATCTAAAGCTCCGACACCGCCGAGACCGGCCTTCTTCCAATCCTCAAATCTCATCTTGAATTTCATCTCTAAGCTGCAGGGGTGATCTATGTCTCGACCTATTGTTGAAGACTCGTGCATTGCGTTGCTTCCAAAGTGCCCACGTGATTGAGTCCACGCTTCTCTTGGTCCTCCCTGTGAATCGTCTCCTTTGGTCAAGCCACCATTGCAAGAACGTAACGTTTGCGTCTGGCGTGTGTATGGTGATGCTCCATGAACTGAAACAGGAGTGCCACACCTCACGAGCATAGACACACTGTGCGAGGATGTGGTCCGCATTGTCCTCCTCCTGAAGGAAAGTGTAGCAAGGGGATGGGGCATCTTGAAGGCCATGCCGAGCGCGACGGTCGGAAGTCCACAACCGGTACTGACAGGCCAACCACATGAAGATCTTGCATTTGAGCGGCGCCCAGCTTCGCCAAATGCAGCCGGTCGTCGGGGAACGGGTGTATCTGATGCAAGGTCTCTTGTAAGTGGAGTTGGCTGTGTATTTGCGTGATGCATCGCAGAGCCATGAACGAGAGCTCACGATGGACATCGTTCGCCCAGGCATTGTCGAGGAGCGCTTCACACACCGTTCTCCTGTTTTTATCTCTTGTGCTGACTAGTTGAAGGAGCATCGGGGCAATGTCCTTCACCGCAACTTCGTGGATCCAACGATCTTTCCAAAAGAGGACTTTCGATCCCTCTCCAACGGTGATCTTGACCAGGCTATCAAAGATTGCGCGCGCTTGCTCATCAACCATCAGATGAAGGCCTTGCCATGGCATGTTCGGGTCCGTTCTCCTAAGCCATTCCCAATGCACACGGAGTGCTAGTGCTTGCACTGCCAAATTCTTCACTCCCAGACTACCAAAGCTCATCGGCCTACATACCGTCTCCCAAGCGACGAGGCATTGCCTTCCATGACTCTTATCCTTACCAGCCCAAAAGAAGGATCACATCCATTTGTTAATGTCCTCCAAAACCCAAGCGGGGGGTCAAGCACCAGGAGATGATGAACCGGTCTGGCTGCGATCACCGTCTTGACGAGACGAGAATAAGCCTGCCCGACCTTTGAATGAAGCCGTGCTGCCAGACTGGGATAAAATGCTCTATTATTATGGGACAGAGGGAGTAGTAATTAGCTTGAATCAATTAGAGTATCAACAGTTGGGAGAGACGTTCTGCACAAAGCGTTTGTAAGGATATCTCTAATATCATGATTGATAAATATACTGAAAATTTCTCTCGAAAAAAGGTATCTCTAATATCCATCAAAACATACAACCTAAATGTCTAAAGACACATCTAGATATATCCACGAACAACAGATGAGGGTGGCCATCCAACACTATACAATAAATTTTTGTGTTTTTATCCTGTATTCGAAACACTTAAAATAAGTAAGATAACCTTCGTCATAGTAACACTGAGCAAATATTCCAATGCAACAATAATTCAAACTTGGAATTTTGCAATAAAATAGTTAAAATTTGAACTCGACTTGTTCGAACATATTTTTTAGTCCCTTCCTTGAATCGTCCACAAATGCTCAATCAAATCATTCTGAAGTACTCGTGAGTTGCTTGATTATGAATCTTGATGCATTTAGATAAATTTCTCGAACGTCGCTGAATTCTACTCGGGAAGTTTGATAGGATCACCCATTTGCTCAAATTTCAAACCATGGCATACTCCTCACCCTCATTCAATCATGTTGTGCATGATCACACAAGTTGTCATCACCTCCCATAATGTCTCTGAATCCCATGTGTTTGTAAGTCCCCGGACAACTGCAAAACAGATTTGGAGCACTCTAAGTGCCCTCTCGACATCCTTTCTCGCTCCTTCTTGTCCATTGCTTGCTAGTGCATGGAATTCGGGGGTTCGGCCATACCTGGCCACCTTCTTGCTTCCGATAGTACCATAAGACGTGCGGTGTCTTGGTTCTTACAAGTACTCTACTCCAAACACCTTGACCACCGCAGTAGCAAACCACCATGGCTTCGGGACATGCGGTTTCGGACATCCAGAGGTATTCATCCCACGAATCGACGATCGTGCCTTAGGCAAGCATCCTCAAGGCAGTCGTTACCTTCTAGTAACCAAAAAATACAATTTTTTCCAATGACATGCTTCTTCAGGATAAAAAAAGTCATCATATGCTGAACACCATTGCAGAGGCGATTGAACACAGTTCGGCTCATCCAGAACCAACAACAGAAAAAGGACTCGAATTGCGCATCGGGGACAAAGTAGTCAACCATCAACATCATATGCTCATGCGCCAACTTTCGATTCAGCACTCAATGCCCCTTGATTGATCCCTTGAAACCGAGAACACGCTCCTCCACACGTTGGGCATCATAGGTAACTGTGTGCTTCATCGTCGTTTCATCCTCATGTTCATCCTCATCTGAAGATGATGAATCCATGAACTTGGCGTAGAAGTATTCCGAGGCCGAATTCATAGTGTTTGCTTCAAAGTAAACAACAAAAAGGTCAATAAATTTTGCTATGGCATTTGGCAGTGTCGAGTGTGGTTTGCGACATGGTCGACAATGTGCAAGTGCAGAGGTACCTGCGCGGCGGCCGGACCAAGGGTAGAAGGGAGGTGTAGGCAAGTTGGCTTGCACCCGGGTGGAGAGGCGGAGGTCCAGTAAGGCCTGGGTGGCGGAGGGGTAGTACAGCAGCGACGACTGATCACACCGGTATACAACAAGGACGAAGGAACCGGGTGAGAAAAGCGGGACTCCGGGTGAGTTTTTTGTGTGGGCAAGGGTGTCGGAGTCTGACGTGGCGGCTATCCAGACGCCGCAAACCTTCTCAAGATTTGTTTCTAGCGTTCAAATTTGCTTCTAGTTCGCAAGAATTCAAACATACGTACGGGCGTTGAAGGGCTTAAAGTGTCCGGACATTTATGGGTGGTTTGATGCACGTGGTTAGATGCCCTGGTCTGTACCACTCCCAGGATCCAAGTAGCACTTGGCAGTGGGAAAGTCGCCTTCTGAATTCTTCAGGGAGATGGGGGAGCGCTCGCAGGCAGGACCAGGTCCCCTATTCTTCGCTTTCAACGCCAGTGCACCTACCGAATGAATTCACTCGTTGCTCTAACGCGCCCGTCAACGCGGGGGTTTGGAAGCAGCGATCCGCGCTCCGCCTCCGGCTCCGGCCCCTTCCTAAACGTGTGGTGTGGTGCCTTCCTCTTATTTGGCCTCGTCGAGAATTGTCATCCTCACATCTCTTCTCCCCGCTGGCTGCTTCCGCGCTCGCTGTCACGGGAGCTGGAGGGAGACTTTTCTGCTGCTTCGCTTCCTCGCCCGGTCGTCCTGCTCCTACTGGTTGCTTGCTTGCTTTGGGATCCGCGTTGCAGAAAAGAAAATACGCAGAGCTATTTTATCTTCTTCGCTCTGCGCCCGTGGGAGATCGGGCTGCGAATGATCAGCGAGCGGTGGACGAAGAGACGAGGAATCTGAGACTGAGAATTTGACCGGCATCGATCGAGGTAAACCCTCCATCAGTTCTTGGTCCTGCTCATGAATTCTTGCCGACTAGGGTAGGTTGGATAACAGAGGACGCGATCATGTAGAAATCTCGATGCATATGGGGGATGGTGGTCTCTCCAACCCTAGCTGCCCACTGATTCGACATGCCAGATGCTATGATTGCTAACCCAACTCGTTTCCTGCAGCTCGTGTCGTGAGAAGAGGAGGCCGGAGACGACGGGGGCCATGGAGAGCGAGCAGGTGAAGCGGCGGTTCGGGCGGTGCCCCTACTGCCGCGCCATGATCTACCAGGACCCGCAGGCCGTCATCTACTACTGCAGCAAGTGCCGCACGCCCATCCGAGGCAAGAACCCGGAGCCCACGGACGACACCGAGTACTCGCTGGCGCAGCTCGAGATCCTCTCCTTCGACACCATGTCCACCTACTCCGACGAGACGGATCCGCCCAATGGCGGAAACCTCGAGCCGGGCAGCCGGGACAACGGGGTCGCGTCCTCCTCGTCCGCGTACCGGCCCTACAGCGCGATCAGGACCGGTCCAAGGAGCGGCGATCTGGGCCGGCACGACGAAGCGGATCAGGTTCGGCGAAGCGGGTCGCCGCTCCACAGCCGCGTGAGCGAGCTCCGGCCGGCGTCCCGGAGGACCAGGCGGCCGGCGAGCGCTGACCTCGACGCGCCCAAGGACGGAGGCGGCGAGTTCGACGTGCCGCGGACGAGGTCGGCCTCGTCCTACGGCCGCCGGGCGTCGCCGCTCAACTCGCAGGAACTCGAGGCGGCGATGGGCATGGTGGGGGATGGACCGGCCGCTGGTGTGGCCTCGAGATCGCCGCTGGCTGACCCGGGGTTCCAGCAGAACCTCCTGCACGCTCTCGAGAACCTCCGGAAGCTCATCGTCGCCGTCGAGGAGCCGCTCAGAGTCGACGCGCCCCGGCTCGCTCCTGGTGTGCCTCCCAAGAGCGCGCCTGGCAGCAACAGCGCCCCTCAGAAAGTCACGCGGCGCGACTCCCGCATCCTGCGCCGCCTCGAGTCGCAGCTCGCCCAGGCATTGCCGGCCACCGACAGCGGCCGGCGCCTTGGCAAGCCCAACACCTCGTCGTCATTGTCTTCGTGGATGTCCGCGTCGGCGTCGGCATTGGCACCGGTGTCGGAACCGGCATCGGCATCGAGCAGCCGGCGCGGGGCGTCGGCGAGGCACCTAATCTGCCGCCCGGTCATGGGCGGCACGCCGTTCGTCCTCTGCGACAAGTGCGAGGAGATACTGCTGCTACCGGCCGGCCTATCTGTAGACAAATTCGCCAGGCTGCAGTGCGGCGGCTGCGACGAAATGCTCGAGGTGACGCTGCCGGCGAGGGGCGGCGGCTCGACGACGGACCGGCCGAGGAAGATATTCTCCGCGCCGCAGCCAGCTGGTTTTGGCGCCGACGACGCGGAGGAGCAGAACACGCGTGCAACTGCGAGGAGCCGTTTGAGCGGCGAGCAGCTACGGCAGGGCCCCGACCATGGGCTACTCCACCACGTGCTCGGCTACAGCTCGGTGAGCTCGGTTCTCCGGAGCCGTCGGTACGACGACGAGGACAGCTGAGCAAACATTTGCCTTCCGCTTCTCCTGGCGCGTAAAGATGCAATTGAATTGTGGATATTTACAACCATTCTTCATTTTTTTGTTATTGTGTAAGAGATCTGATTCTTTTGGGGCGATGAGGAGGATGAGTAGTTTTTCTCTCTTCTTTTTTGGAAGCCAGGATGAATAGTTATTTGATTCATCAAAATACTGCTATTTTAGTGTACATACTACTAAATCAAACTGGGGGGTTCCATTGCATTGCACCAAACCAACGCCAGGTCCTAGGAGGCGCGCACTCGCCCCCGCGTCGTCTCCTCTGGAGGCGACTCGGGCGGATCCCCGACCCCCGCCGCCGAAGCCCACCCCCTCCTCCCGCTCCTCCCTCGCCGCCGCCGGCACACGTCACTGGGCAAAGCCCGCTGGCAGCTGGCGGCAGCGGGACCAACCCTTTTTATCCGCGCGGGGAGCTCGTGGCGGCTGGCGGCTGCTGGATCTCGCGGTGGTGCGCGGCGGTTGTCCGGCTAGGCTGGCTCTCGAGTTGCGGCGGCTCGGGGTTTGCCGGTGTTGGCTGCTGGGCGGCCCGTGCGGTGGAGCCGGGCTCGCCCTGGGTTGGTGCGGGCGCACGTACATCTGGCCCAGAGTTGGCGGGTTTGCGTGGCTCTAGATCTGGGCGAGCGACCGTGTCCTACGGCCTACCTCCCGCCATCCCGCGCTTCTGCGCCGGTGGTGCCTGCTGCCGGCTCCGGCTGGTCCAGCTCATGTGAGGGTGGAGGTGGAGGGGGTCCCAGGCTTCATGGCGGCGGCTCTTGCGGCCCCTCTTCTCGTGGCGCAGTGGGGGTGCTCCTCTCCCCTCCCAGGGCCTGCTGCGGCGGCCAGAGGTGACCCGGTCTTCGGATTTTGAGGCGAGGCATTCGTGTTTGGCTCCAGGTGAAAACCTTGCAGAGACCTCGGTCGATGCCGGTGACGCGCGATGCTTTTTGGTGTCGTTCTCCTCCCTGTAGGCGCGTTCCTGAGGAGTCCAATTCACCCAAATCCCTCGAGTCTGGGGTCTCCGGACGAAAGTCCATGATCTGATTTGCTGGATCGGGCGACGATGGCGTCGTGTACATCGCTACCTCCTTGGAGGCGTCGTCTTGGAGACATTGACTGTGGGTGGTAACCGACGGCTTATGTGGTTGGTTGGCGGTGGTGGGTGGCTGATGGTGTTGGGGAATGTTACAGAAAACAAAAATTTTCCTACGGTTTCACCAAGATCCATCTAGGAGTTCATCTAGCAACGAGTGATCGGATTGCATCTACATACCTTTGTAGATCACGCGTGGAAGCGTTCAAAGAACGGGGATGAGGAAGGCGTACTCGACGTGATCCAAATCACCGGAGATCCTAGCGCCGAACGGACGGCACCTCCGCGTTCAACACACGTACGGTCAGCGTAACGTCTCCTCCTTCTTGATCTAGCAAGGGGGAGAAGAGGTTGAGGAAGATGGCTCCAGCAGCAGCACGACGACGTGGTGGTGATGGAGCTGCAGTACTCCGGCAGGGCTTCGCCAAGCTCTATGGAGGAGGAGGATGTGTTGGAGAGGGAGAGGGAGGCACCAAAGGCGTGGTGTGAGAGGCCCTCCTTCCCCCACTATATATAGGGAGCCTAGGGGGGGGGGGGGCGCCGGCCCTAGGAGATGCAATCTCCTAGGGGGGCGGCGGCCAAGGGAGGAATCCCTCCTCCCTAAGGCACCTAGGAGGTGCCTTCCCCCTTTAGGACTCTTCCTTTCTTGATCTCCTGGCGCATGGGCCTCTTGGGGCTGGTGCCCTTGGCCCATATAGGCCAAGGCGCACACCCCTACAGCCCATGTGGCCCCCGAGGCAGGTGGCCCCACCCGGTGGACCCCCGGGACCCTTCCGGTGGTCCCGGTACAATACCGGTGACCCCGAAACTTGTCCCGACGGCCGAAATAGCACTTCCTATATATAATTCTTTACCTCCGGACCATTCCGGAACTCCTCCTAACGTCCGGGATCTCATCCGGGACTCCGAACAACATTCAGGTTACTGCATATACATATCCCTACAACCCTAGCGTCACCGAACCTTAAGTGTGTAGACCCTACGGGTTCGGGAGACATGTAGACATGACCGAGATCGCTCTCCGGTCAATAACCAACAGCGGGATCTGGGTACCCATGTTGGCTCCCACATGCTCCTCGATGATCTCATCGGATGAACCACGATGTCGAGGATTCAAGCAACTCCGTATACAATTCGCTTTGTCAATCGGTATGCTACTTGCCCGAGATTCGATCGTCGGTATCCCAATACCTTGTTCAATCTCGTTACCGACAAGTCACTTTACTCGTACCGTAATGCATGATCCCGTGACCAGACACTTGGTCACTTTGAGCTCATAATGATGATGTATTACCGAGTGGGCCCAGTGATACCTCTCCGTCATACGGAGTGACAAATCCCAGTCTTGATCCGTGTCAACCCAACAGACACTTTCGGAGATACCCGTAGTATACCTTTATAGTCACCCAGTTATGTTGTGACGTTTGGTACACCCAAAGCACTCCTACGGTATCCGGGAGTTACACGATCTCATGGTCTAAGGAAAAGATGCTTGACATTGGAAAAACTCTAGCAAACGAACTATACGATCTTATGCTATGCTTAGGATTGGGTCTTGTCCATCACATCATTCTCCTAATGATGTGATCTCGTTATCAATGACATCCAATGTCCATAGTCAGGAAACCATGACTATCTGTTCATCAACGAGCTAGTCAACTAGATGCTTACTAGGGACATGTTGGTGTCTATTATTCACACATGTATTACGATTTCCGGATAACACAATTATAGCATGAATAAAGACAATTATCATGAACAAGGAAATATAATAATAATGCTTTTATTATTGCCTCTAGGGCATATTTCCAACAGTCTCCCACTTGCACTAGAGTCAATAATCTTGTTACATTGTGATGAATCGAACACCCATGGAATTCTGGTGTTGATCATGTTTTGCTCTAGGGAGAGGTTTAGTCAATGGATCTGCTACATTCAGGTCCGTATGTACTTTACAAATATCTATGTCTCCATCTTGAACATTTTCACGAATGGAGTTGAAGCGACGCTTGATGTGCCTGGTCTTCTTGTGAAACCTGGGCTCCTTGGCAAGTGCAATAGCTCCAGTGTTGTCACAGAAGAGTTTGATTGGCCCCTACGCATTGGGTATGACTCCTAGGTCGGTGATGAACTCCTTCACCCAAATTGCTTCATGTGCTGCCTTCGAGGCTGCCATGTACTCCGCTTCACATGTAGATCCCGCCACGACGCTCTGCTTGCAACTGCACCAGCTTACTGCCCCACCATTCAAAATATACACGTATCCGGTTTGTGACTTTGAGTCATCCAGATCTGTGTCGAAGCTAGCGTCGACGTAACCCTTTACGACGAGCTCTTCATCACCTCCATAGACGAGAAACATTTCCTTAGTCCTTTTCAGGTACTTCAGGATATTCTTGACCGTTGTCCAGTGTTCCTTGCCGGGATTACTTTGGTACCTACCTACCAAACTTACGACAAGGTTTACATCAGGTCTGGTACACAGCATGGCATACATAATAGAACCTATGGCCGAGGCATAGCGGATGACACTCATCTCTTCTATATCTTCTGCCGTGGTCGGACATTGAGCTGAGCTCAATTTCACACCTTGCAACACAGGCAAGAACCCCTTCTTAGACTGATCCATATTGAACTTCTTCAATATCTTATCAAGGTATGTGCTTTGTGAAAGACCTATGAGGCGTCTTGATCTGTCTCTATAGATCTTGATGCCTAATATATAAGCAGCTTCTCCAAGGTCCTTCATTGAAAAACTCTTATTCAAGTAGGCCTTAATGCTGTCCAAAAGCTCTATATCATTTCCCATCAAAAGTATGTCATCTACATATAATATGAGAAATGCTACAGAGCTCCCACTCACTTTCTTGTAAACACAGGCTTCTCCATAAGTCTGCGTAAACTCAAACGCTTTGATCATCTCATCAAAGCGAATGTTCCAACTCCGAGATGCTTGCACCAGCCCATAAATCGAGCGTTGGAGCTTGCACACCTTGTTAGCATTCTTAGGATCGACAAAACCTTCCGGCTACATCATATACAATTCTTCCTTAAGGAAACCATTAAGGAATGCCGTTTTGACGTCCATTTGCCATATCTCATAATCATAGAATGCGGCAATTGCTAACATGATTCGGACGGACTTTAGCTTCGCTACCGGTGAGAAAGTCTCATCGTAGTCAACCCCTTGAACTTGTCGATAACCCTTAGCGACAAGCCGAGCTTTATAGACGGTCACATTACCATCCGTGTCTGTCTTCTTCTTAAAGATCCATTTATTTTCTATGGCTCGCCGCTCAACAGGCAAGTCAGTCAAAGTCCATACTTCGTTTTCATACATGGATCCTATCTCAGATTTCATGGCTTCTAGCCATATGTCGGAATCCGGGCCCGCCATCGCTTCTTCATAGTTCGAAGGTTCACCGTTGTCTAACAACATGATTTCCAAGACAGGGTTGCCGTACCACTCTGGTGCGGAACGTGTCCTTGTGGACCTACGAAGTTCAGTAGCAACTTGATCTGAAGTTTCATGAACATCGTCATTAACTTCCTCTCTAGTCGGTGCAGGCACCTCAGGAACATTTTCTTGAGTTGCGCCATTTTCCGGTTCAAGAGGTAATACTTCATCAAGTTCTACTTTCCTCCCACTTACTTCTTTCGAGAGAAACTCCTTCTCTAGAAAGGATCTATTCTTGGCAACAAAGATCTTGCCTTCGGATCTGAGGTAGAAGGTATACCCAATAGTTTCTTTAGGGTATCCTATGAAGACGCATTTTTCCGACTTGGGTTCGAGCTTTTCAGGTTGAAGTTTCTTGACATAAGCATCGCATCCCCAAACTTTCAGAAACGACAGCTTAGGTTTCTTCCCAAACCATAATTCATACGGTGTCGTCTC